GCCTCGAAGCGCCTCGATTGCATTGGAGCCTCCCTTGCAATACTTTCCAAGTGAACGAAATGGCAAGATTCCTGGGAACACGGTGCTGATTCAAGGTCTCTGCTCCCCCTGCATGTTGCCAATCCTTGCCAAAGCATCATATTGTTTGGAATTGTTTGGGTGTTGTCGCATGGTTGCTGATTCCGCCGACATTGCTGGCGTTTTATGTGTTTGCGCTGGCAGTGGATCGTTTTGTCACGATTGAGCGTCGCACTGCTCAGTTTTGTTTTCAACTTTTGCAGCCCACCTCTATGAAGATGGATGACGTCACTGCATTAATTAAATGAATTAACCAATATGCAACATGCAATCCAGCGTGTTGAACGACCTGGCGGAAGCCAAGAGGCGTTGGACGGGAAAAAAAAGCACTGCTCAGTTTTGTTTTGGTCTCTTGGATGCGTTGTTTTTTTGGCATATGGAGCCCACCACCCTTCGGCTTGAAGGGGGGGCTCAAGGGAGGGCTCAAGGGAAGGCTTGAGAAGTGGCTTCAAGGAGACTTCAAAAGGGGCTTCAAGGGGACGCTTCAAGGGGGGGCTTAAGGGACGGCTTAAGGGGGAGCTTAATGGTGGGCTCAAGGGGGGGTTCAAGGCGGGCCTCAAGGGGGGCTTCAAGGGAGGCTTCAAGGAGGGCTTTAAGGAGGGGCTGAAGGGGTAGTAGTAGTAGTAGTAGCAGTAGCAGCAGCAGCAGCAGCAGCAGTAGCAGTAGCAGTAGCAGTAGCAGTAGCAGTAGTAGTAGTAGTAGTAGTAGTAGGAGTAGGAGTAGGAGTAGGAGTAGGAGTGGGAGTGGGAGTAGGAGTAGGAGTAGGAGTAGGAGTAGGAGCAGGAGTAAGAGTAGGAGTAGGAGCAGGAGGAGGAGGAGTAGGAGGAGGAGGAGGAGTAGGAGGAGGGAGGAGTAGTAGGAGTAGTAGGAGTAGTAGGAGGAGTAGTAGTAGTAGTAGTCGTAGTAGTAGTAGTAGTAGTAGTAGTAGTAGTAGTAGTCGTAGTAGTCGTAGTAGTCGTAGTAGTCGTAGTAGTCGTAGTAATCGTAGTAGTAGTAGTCGTAGTAGTAGTAGTAGTAGTAGTAGGAGTAGGAGTAGGAGTAGGAGTAGGAGTGGGAGTAGGAGTAGGAGTAGGAGTAAGAGTAGGAGTAGGAGCAGGAGGAGGAGTAGGAGGAGGAGGAGGAGTAGGCGGAGGGAGGAGTAGGAGGAGTAGGAGGAGTAGTAGGAGTAGTAGGTATAGTAGGAGTAGTAGGAGTAGTAGGAGGAGTAGGAGTAGTAGGAGGAGTAGGAGTAGTAGGAGTAGTAGGAGTGGTAGGAGTAGTAGGAGTAGTAGGAGGAGTAGGAGGGGTAGGAGTAGTAGGAGTAGAAGGAGTAGTAGGAGTAGTAGGAGTAGTAGGAGTAGTAGGAGTAGTAGGAGTAGTAGGAGTAGTAGGCGGAGTAGGAGTAGTAGGAGGAGTAGGAGTAGTAGGAGGAGTAGGAGTAGTAGGAGTAGTAGGAGTGGTAGGAGTAGTAGGAGTAGTAGGAGGAGTAGGAGGGGTAGGAGTAGTAGGAGTAGAAGGAGTAGTAGGAGTAGTAGGAGTAGTAGGAGTAGTAGTAGTAGTAGTAGGAGGAAGTAGGAGTAGTAGGAGTAGTAGGAGTAGTAGGAGTAGTAGGAGTAGTAGGAGCAGTAGGAGCAGTAGGAGCAGTAGGAGTAGTAGGAGTAGTAGGAGTAGTAGGAGTAGTAGGACGAGTAGTAGTAGGAGGAGTAGTAGTAGTAGTAGTCGTAGTCGTAGTAGTAGTAGTAGTAGTAGCAGTACTAGTAGTAGCAGTACTAGTAGTAGTAGCAGGAGTAGTAGTAGTAGTAGCAGCAGTAGTAGTAGTAGTAGTCGTCGTCGTAGTAGTAGTAGCAGTAGTAGTAGGAGTAGGAGTAGGAGTAGGAGTAGGAGTAGGAGCAGCAGGAGCAGTAGGAGCAGTAGGAGTAGTAGGAGTAGTAGGAGTAGTAGGAGTAGTAGGACGAGTAGTGAGTAGTAGTAGGAGGAGGAGTAGTAGTAGTAGTTGTAGTCGTAGTCGTAGTCGTAGTAGTAGTAGTAGTAGTGGTAGTGGTAGTGGTAGTGGTAGTAGTAGTAGTAGCAGTAGTAGCAGTAGTAGTAGCAGTAGTAGTAGTAGTAGTGGTAGTAGTGGTAGTAGTAGTATTAGTAGTAGTAGTAGTAGGAGGCCCCCTTGGAGGCCCCCCTTAAGCCACCCTTAAGCATTCCCTTAAGCTGTCCCTTAAGCCTCCCCTTAAGCCCCCCTTGAAGGCCCCCCTTAAGCATCCTTAAACCCTTCCCTTAAGCCTTTCCTTAAGGGCATCCACCCTTCAAGGGGGGGGAGGGGGGTCACCCTTCATGACTCCTTAAGCTCCCCCTTAAGGCCCCCCTTCAAGCCCTCCTTCGACGAAGGGGGTGGGCCCTCCCTCGTTTTTGGGCTCCTCCCCTTTGCCCTCCTAGACTCCTAACGCGGCAACTTTGCGGGTCGGGTTGTGTATGTCGCCCGGAGTTCAGTATCATCCGGTTAAAGAATAATGGTATATGTTCAAAACCGGATGAATCCTTTGTTTACATTGGGGGAAGAGTTTCGATTTCATAACTCCAGCAGATTCCGTAAGAAGGCTGGAGATGCAAAACTTCGGTTTTACCACAGTTTTGTGCCAGTTTTGATGTCTTTAGCTGCGGAGTCTTGCCGGAGTCGGGCGGAAAGAGTTCCAATTTTGTGACTCCAGACGACTCCGCAAGAAACCGCAAGATGCGCAAGATACACTGAACTGTTCGATTTGTTTGATGCCCATTTTTGGGGTTGGAAAAGTGGAAAAGTATATAGAATTTGGGTTCCCAAAGGCGGTCCTCCCCAGTATCTGGTGTGGATGAAAGAGCTGAGTCGTAGGAACAATTTCCTTTATGTGGACAACGAGGGGGCAAAATTCTGCTGGATGAAAGGAGCTTCGGACAACCTGACTGTTGATGCAATATGTGCAGTATTTCTGAATTGGAAGTTGCGATACAGGCTAACTGTTGGCTTGCGCGTGTTGCCTCCTTTTCCAATGTGGCTGACAAAGCTTCAAGAGGTGATATAAAGAATTTGGTTGACAGCGGTTTCTTGAATGATTCTACAGAGGCTTTACAAAAAGTGACTCAACTGCTTGCATTCACAAAAGAGAAATTGGGGAGACGAGCTGAATGCATCGTGGCATCCCCCACTTGAAAAAGGATAGCATGCCTGCGTCAGAGCCTTCCATCAGTGAGTGTGATGCAGAATAAATAGAGGTCACGTGTGACATATTTTTATTTGTGCGGTGAAGTGCATGAAAGCATCTTCAAACGAACGCTGTTTCCTTCTCAAGTGGTGGGAGGGCGGGATTTCCCTCGCTCTGTGGCTTCGATTTGCCCACTACCAACGCTTTGACACCACCAGAGCTTTCCATCAGAGAGTCATGCAGAAATAAAATGATAAACAATTTATGTTGGTGCCAGGTGTGCCTTCAAGGCAACATTTCTACTCGCTTTGCTACATTTTTTTGCCTCGCAGTTTTGCTAACTTGACCGGCATGTTGCCGCCTAGTTTGCCGGGGGATCGGCGGGCTGTTGGCCAGGGCCGAAACCACGATTTTCATCTTGTTTCTGGGGAGTGTTTATACTCCCAGGCTTACTCCAAAAAAAATATATATATATATATATTTTAATACAAATTGTATAATATGTAAGTTATAATACATACCATATATTACATCAGTGATAACATATCATATTTAATGTTTAATATATAGTTTTTAATTTTTAATATTTTGAAAAATAACATTAAAAAAATAACTTTGAAAATATCACTATTTGAAATTTCATATTTTGGATAAAAAATAAAAAATCAAACGTATAATATATAATATCTAATTCCAAAAAAATGCAATTTAACATCTATTCCCGAAAATATCATATATAGTATGTTATATATATCTATCATTTATTTTATATCATATATAATGTAAAATTCGTTTTAGTTAACATTTTTATTTTTGGAATATTGTTTACTTGTTAAAATATCACAAGTAATATGTAATGTATCATTTTTAATAGATGATATTTGATACAATATATTTGATATATAATGTTGAACATATCATATTTAATATTTCTTAAATGCTATTTAATTTCTAAATTTTGAAGTATAGGATTTTATTTATTTTGCACTCAATATTTAATATATAACATGTAATTTTCAAAACAGTATATATGTATATATAAAGATCTACCAGCTTACAGCGTTAGCCGAGTCACCTGGACTGGCATGTTGCTTCAGAAACTGGATAACTGCTTCACTGTCCGCAGCTTGGATGCGGTGATGAATTGGACACGAATGTCCCCCGTATGTTCCGCGAAGGTCGCAGGTCGCGCAGCGGTTGAGAAAGGAGATGCGGCTGATTTTGGAAGACGCCAGATGCCAATTCAATCAACTGCATCCACAGACCTTACTGATTTGGGTTCTGTTATTGTTGAGGTTTAGTTGCAATGTTTACATTTGGTTTCTGTCGGTCTCTAGGTTTTCACCCAGCAGGTGATTGACATGAAATCCAGTGGACGAAAGGTCACAAGTTTCGTCAGCCATTGCTTCAAAACACTGGCTCAAAAAGTTGGTCGGCGCCAATGGAGATTTGAACGAATCTCGCTTGAAGTCCTCCAAAATCCATTTGAGGATGTCAAATTGGAAATCTGCCAAATCCGGGCAAAATCCTTGATGGTTGATGCTTGTTGAGGGTTATGCTGGGTTTCGTGTAGGCATTATTCAACCGAGTATCACGTGAGTACCAGTGGGTGGGTCACATGACAAGTTCGGTGAATTTGGTCATTGTTCCTTGGTCATTGCTCCATCCCATTCCCACGGGCCGGCAATCGATGCCCAAAATTCATGGCATTTCTGATACAGCGAAGCTGATACCGATTTTTTGGATGGCACCCCTGTGCATCCCAGGTCAGCCCTAATGCGGTGTGGTGCCCTATGGTTCTGGTTGGCACTGGAAAGCGTCCGTTCGTTTGAGACGCAGAGCACTTGGGTTGCCAACAACGCCACCGGTTTCTTGCCAAACTTCGCCAGTGGAAAAAACATGGAAAATTGCAGTCGTGGTCTGAAAACATGGTACCCTAAAATTGGTCGTGGAATTTCAATGGGTTGAAATTAGAATCATGAACCGATGGATTCCAGGGTATTCAATCATTTGACAAACCAATTGGTCAATCGACCTGTCCAAGTAATTAGAAAGTAGAAAACTTGGAAGACCTGCTGCTTGGCGATTTGACAAGAAACATATAGATTAGAAACAGCCTCCGAGAATCGGTGTGAAATTCCATTCGTTCATGGTTCCGAAATGCGAAGTTTGGAGGGTTCGACGTTGATCGTTCAGGTTGCTTGGACGATCCTTATTACTTTGATGCGGGGCACCCAGTGAGGGTTGGTGGAGAAGGGCGGCAGGTCTCGAAATTTTGCAGGTGTACAGGTATCTCACTTTTGCAAATCTGGAGTGAATTTCCTCTGAAATGTTCAGTAATTTTCTTCAGATTACAATTGACACCGTTTTTAAACGCTGCCCAGAAAAACAACACAAGACAACTCCGTCAGATGACCCAAACCCAGATTGCCTCCAACAATCATGATCTCCCAAACATTCGTGGTTGCTTGTGATTATAGAACCCATTTTCATGCTTAGACCATGGCTATGTATCCGTTAAACAAAACACAAAATAAACCGCAAGAAAAGAAAACACTACCCTCCAGTAATCAAACGTAGACGTTCAACATCCTATGTAAAAAGTGGTTTTCATAGGCATTTTCACCGATTTTCCATTGCCATGCTTGACTAGCAGAGGGTATCACCATCACTTTCAGTCTATTCTACAGCAATATCGGAGTTTTCTTGGGCTGGATGGAGCCTTGACCATCAGAGAGGTCTTCTTCCTCAACTTGGGGCGTGGCACCTGCCGCCTGAGTGAGTACGACACGTCAGGCGTGCCAGGGGGGACCTGTGATTTCGAACATGGGAACCAGGGGGGGATTGAAGGGGAAAAATGGAGATGTCATGGGGATATGATGGGATACCAAGCGATTTTTTGGATAGCCTCTCTTAAAGTACAGTAACAGTTCGCTATGGAAAATTTCCGTCTTTAATAGGTAAATATACGTAGGTAGATATAGGTAAATCAACTATTTCTATGGGCAATTTTCTATAGCAATCAGCGCTGCCAGGGAATGGATATGGCACTGCATGGAGGCGGGTGGCGATCCTGGGGTGATGGGATAGACATTGATAGAAATAAATGAGATCATCATCCATCCTGCACGGTTTTCGTTTATTTGGCATTTTTTAAACCTAAAATTCATAAATTCATTGATCAATTATGAGTCATCATTATCCCTATTAAGGTTGACATTTTAGAGTGTATTCCATTATCATCCATTTTCAGAGGCACCCATATCCAGGCAAGACTTTTCTATGACCATCCGGCCGAAGAATCCTCTGTTTATTTCTTTCTTTCATATATTGATGCCGTGAAATTACTTGATTTCTATTCCCAAGAGGATGGTCATCACCCCAAAGAACTAGAGATTTGTAGACCCAAGTTGGGGGTTAGAGGATTAGTTTCCACGAAACATCGGTCCGGGTACGGCTCAAAATTGGGTACACCAATAATTAGACGATTACTAAAAAAAGTCGTCCCATCGTGTTTCAATTTTGACCTGTAAAACTGAAGGGATCCAGCAATCCGATGATAGAGGCCATCACCTACACCTCCCACCCTGGAAGAATGTTTGGCACCTCAGTGAGATGGCCCGCGGGGAATTTTGAATCCCATAGCCCCTAAATCCCCTAATATTTAACACCCAGAAACGTCCAGAAACCATGGTTTAGTAGGGCTACGATTTTTCCATGGGGATAGGTATGGGAACATGGGCAATTTACCTGGATTTTTATGGCTGGGGAAGATGATGATTCGCCATCAAATTGTCGGGGTAAAGTGGGACAGATTATCCCCTTGAAAACAGAATCGACCCATTTGACGAATGGAAACATCCAACCTGGACCCAGTCCACGCTGATCAAAACTTCAGAAAGGTTCTTGTCTGCCTCCACGATTCAAACATTCGAAGTCCCCCCACAGGGTTTGTATCTCAAAATGGGAAATCTATACTCCCAGTTAATGCCCATCCCACCACTCTAGAGAAGGACTAAATTTGACGTTCCAAAATTTTATGGCCAGCCATTTTCATCAGGAATCCGGAAACCATAGGGTTTTGATGTTTTTTTTCGCCCATCAGAATTTGTTACTGTGGATGGAAGAAATCCTACACCAGTTGGTAGGTGGTTAATCCCATTATTTCTAGGTTTCAACCATCCAAGGTGGTGCAGGATTTCTTCCATCCACCGTATGTCCACTCCAATGGCGGATGCGAAAGCTGAGGTCTCTCGCTGTGCTTCTCCCTGAGCTACTGTACCGCGGCGGAGTTTCGCACCACGACCGGCGACCCCCGCTGCGAGATATGGAACCAGTGTCTTGGCGCAGTACCAGCTGTGCGTGGTGTGGAAAAAACCTGGGAATGTTACCATTGGGATACCACTGTGGGTGGAAAAAGTGCAAGAAACCAATGGAATATATGGAATTCAGGCCCCTTTTTTCCTGAGCATATAATTTGCAGATTTTTTTTTAATCCCCAGATTCGCAAAGGGCAACTGATCTTGTTCAGGTCCCACCCAACTCTTGGCCGAAAGGTCGAAAGGCAGAGAGTCAACAGCAGTTTTTCTTGGAAGGTAGAGGATTCGTACACCATTTAAGAACCAGCCAAGTGAAGTTTGAACCGAGGCATTGCGTTTTTTTGATGAAGATTCCAATTGGATGAACACCCGCACACGGGTGTGGGATTATCCCTTATGGCAATTGTAATCCGGAAAATGAGGTTCCCAAATTTCAAGCACCAAACTTGGGGGTTTGCCCCAAAATTTTCAGACAAACCCCACAATTTTGGGGGTGAAACGGTGCTTCCCTGGTTTCGCCTAGGACGGTGGGCTATTTGAGGGGCTCCGGCAGCTACGTTTGCGTCTCGCAGAAGGACCGTGCCATGTTCGCCCCAGGAAAGCTGGAGCTCTATTGTTCAAATATTGACAATTGATATGTAGGGATGGTGCTTAATAAGATATATTGGTCTTATATGGTGCAAATAAAATGTATGTCTCTCTCTCTCTCTCTACACATATATATATATATATCTCTCTCTCTCTCTCTATCTATCTATATTAATGTATATATTGAAGGTATTTTACAGATGAGGGAGCTCATTTTCAGGGTCACCAGGGAGCTGCGCTCAGGAGGTGGACTGCTCCTATTTTGTGGGCAAGAACTGTACTGCAGGCAGGACCGGCTCTGGCGCCTTCCCGTAAAAGCTACTGGGGGGGATGATCACAGAAATAGGGAACAGTTTCAACCATCACAGGTATCGTCCCAGTATTGTTCTTATAAAGATATTCGAGAACCTGCCACTGGTGGTAAAAGCGCAGCTCACCAGTGAGGTTTGAAGCTGAGCAACTGGAACCTGAGGGTTGCTTCTATCCATGAAAGGAAAATGATTGCCACTGGGGGGAATGTAGGTGTTTTTACCTCTTTATCCACCCACCTTGTTCGAAAGTGTATCTGGGTGGCCAGGGAGGTGGGTTTTGTAATCATTATCCCATAGTCATCCTATAGTCTATAGTCAGCCACCATGAATCCCAGCATGTTCCAGAACTATACGAGTCAGTAACCCCGAAAAAGATAGAAATTGGTCAAATCCAGTCCAAAACTAGTTACCCTCTGGTTATGACTAACATATAGCCATGGTTTGTTGATGGCCCCAATCGAAATAGATGATTTTCCCAGCTATAAACTAGATGTTAATACCAGTTGTGAATCAAACACCATTGAACCTTTTCGGCATGGGAATGTCCCATGGCTCAACCATGGTCCCATCCGCAGAAATCTACGACCGCAACGTGTCCGCCAAGCTCGCGCGGTTGCACAGTGCCTGTGGGGATGCCCAGGGGCCCAGGATGGGATGAAGAAACACAGCCCTTTGAAAGATAGGATATGCACATCGCCCCAAAAAAACACATATACAACAAGAGTTTATATATATATAATATTATATTATATATATGATATATGTATAATTATGTATATATTTGTACATATGTATGGTTCAGCTTCTAATAGCAGTAGCTGTAGATTTTTTTGCTGGCCGCCATGCACCGCAATTCCGACAGGTCCCAATACCTGCACTGAAGTGGTGCCGAGCTGCCCCGCCAACTTTACGTTTCGCACCACCACGGTGGGAGGTGGGGATTTTGATGATATGGTGATGGTTCATGAAGGTGTGATGTGGAAAGTTTAGCAACAATGAGGGAGAGGATTTTTGAGGAAAATGTGGATGCAACCAACATGAATTGGAATTTAAATAGCAAAAAATGGGGATTTCGCCAGCAGCAATTGGAAAGAACGGGGGATTTGAACACGAGGGAACTTCACAAGCAACATGTAGTCTAAAGAATATAGGGGGAAGAACCAGCCACACATTTGACAAATGTGACAGACTAAGGGTGCATTACCAGCATGGAACGTGGATCTCCTTGATTCACATCAGTGAATGCTTCGGACACCACTGGCCACACTTCCATTGCTGGGAAATCTGTAGATGATGTCCCGATTGACATGTTTTGACCAAATGAAGGGTTTCATGCAATGCGAGGAAGGTTTATTTCCCTGTTGATCTTGGATGCTTGGTCAAGAAAATCTCCAGCGCTGTAGCTGTAGCTCACCTGGCAAACATGACATGTCTGACATGCCGTGACCATGATTTTGAAACCGGGAGATCGCCGGATGTAGAAATTATTGTTGGTACCCTCTGGCAAAGTAACATAACTATGGAAAATCACCAGTTTTAATGGGAAAATCCACTATCATTGACCATTTTCAATAGCTTTTTGTATGTTTACCAGAGGGTAATGCAATTCGCATTTTTAATCCAGTTGACACCGATTTAGTGTGTCATGTCACAAAGGTTGGCTGGAAAAAAGGCCCCTCTCAGCTTTGCAGGCCTGTATTTGACCGCTGCGGGAGAGCAGGAGACGCAGAAGGATCAGTGGCTCGGCGATGTGGCCAAAAATCGCCAAAATTCTTGATTCAAATTCCACTCTGCGGATGAATCCTGATTCAAATCCTCTATTTTTTGGTTGTTAACAAAACTGATCGGGACCATGGGGACCATGTGAGGTATTCGAGCGGCTACAACCTGATTTTCAACGTGAAGGGCCAGGAATCTGCCACCACAGGCTGGAGGGGATCCGAGTGATAGAAAGTGGATTTGTTCTATTCTTGGGGCCCCAAAACGACAAGCTTTACAACGCGAACACCTCTTCCGAAACTGATATTTTGGTACTGCACCGAATTTTTGCACACTCCGGTGGCTAGTTTCAAATGCAGAAAGATGGTATCACCTTTGGCTTTTTGGGTGTCTCGAGATGTCTGTAGTCTGCCAAAATCGGAGACGGACAGATCTTCATGTCAGGTTACTAGTTCCAGAGTAAGCGGCTAGCCGGTAGGAGTTAAGATTGGAGTACCAATGGACCTACACCATTGATCATCTCTTAGCGTCAATTTTTTGGAGGGTTGATCATTTTGACCCGCTGTCAAAGTAGATCATCCGCTCGACCTTTTCGGGGTCTCTCCAGGTTTTGGAAGTCACAAACCGAACGATGTGTCGGTATGAACCACTCTGGAAGTGGGATGTTTGCTCCCGGATCTGACTAGAAATCCGACACTCCCATTTTATGGGGTGTAGGGGATTGCCCTATCCTCAGTCACCCCGAAGACGTTCTAATATACCCTCTGGTAAACTAACATAGCTATGGAAAATCACAATTTTCAATGGGAAAATCCACTATAAATGGCCATTTTCAATAGCTATGTTAGTTTACCAGAGGGTATTCTTGATTTTATGATGTAACGTACCTTCCATGATATTCAGAGCAAAAAACACCCATACAGCAGTTAGGAATAGTTAGGATGTATGAGGTACTGTACCCATCAAAGCCCACTAAAAAAACATGGAAGTCCCCTGAAAATGTCAGGATCTTCCCATGGTAAGTTCTGGGCAGGTTTTCTGGAGCTGACCTCCCTATCAGCGGATGGCACCATCAAGGCGAGGATGCTGAGGATGCTACCAGCCGGTGACAATGAGTGGTTTCATGGGTATTTCATGGATAAATCCCGAAAAAGATAGCAACGTAATTTGTCACTCTTTTAGGACTGGATCTTACTTGTCTGTCTTTTTTTGGGGTCACTGTATTATATAATGAATATATGTTGATAGATTTTGATATGAAACTATTCCGGGTTTTTGCAGATTTGGTTGTGCTTGTTGACCCAGTGGTCTATCGGATAGTTGATCATCCAATCCCAAGATCTTATTGCTGTACATACCCTGAATCTGAAGTGGCCTCAACAGTGAATATTTTGAATTTCTTTCCCCGGGATATCTTACGTTAGGTGAATTGGATTTTTGTTTGGGTGACATATAAGGACTATAGTATCTTTATTGAATCTAAGGTTGGACATGGATGTGACATATTCTGCTTCAGAAACCAGGGGTTTAACCAGGCAAAGCTGCCATGTATCAGCCTCTAATATCAAATCCACCTACTGCAATTTTGAACAATCACTTCTAAAAATCAGAGTGTTTGGGATGTGTTTATTGCTATATATATATAATATATTGAGAAAATGCATGTTGCCTTGGATGTTTCCACATCATTGCCTTGTCAGGTCTTTGCAACTGATTGCATTCATACGTTGCCATCTATGGTCCGAGGGGCCCCTTGAAGCCTTGCTAGGCTTGGATCGTTGTGGCGTGAGATGGAAAAGTGACGCTTGCGAGCGTATTGCCTTTTGGTGAGGGTTTTACCCTATTTACAACATATCATCCTGATATTCAACTCCAACCACACATCCGCTTCCGCATGGTAGCGGAGCCGCGCTCCTAAAAGGACCGGCTGCCGCAGGGGGCACTTTGCTTCCTGAAGTGAGGACATTTAGTCCTGAGGCCTAAGGCCACCATTTGGCAATCCTTGCCAACCTGCAATGTCCCTGGATTCGAAGGATTCGTTCAAAGACCTGCAATTCAATGGTCAGCCGTCAGGATACAGAGATTTCCGAAGGAAAACGCTGTTAGCTGTGGCAAGCATGGAAGACAAGCATGCACATCTAGCTGGACCTAGGTTGCTGTCGCGACTATCTGGTGAGGCCTGGCGTGCTACTGAGCACTTGCCAATCAACAAGCTGCGTAGCTCTGAAGGATGGTTAGAAGTGATCAAAGCCTTAGATAATCACTACCGATACCTGCCGGAGACAGAATTGCATGAAGCCATCGAAGAGTTCCTCTTTCAGTTGAAGAGACGCCATCATGAAGGTGCCACTTCATTCTCATCAAGGTTCAGAACTCAGCTGGATCGTGTGCAGACCTTGATTGCACAGGAAAGAGAAGTTGTGAGAAGTAAACGTAGGAAGAAGGAACCTCTGAAAAGCACAGCCTCCAGTAGTTTGGAGGAAACCAGTGAAGATGAAGATGATGGTGCTGGATCGTATGGAACAGCCCGTGCTCCATCCCGTGCTCCATCAGGTCCCTTAGGATCACCATCAGCCGAGCCTGTAAGGGCATCTACTGCAGAAGCTGCTGGAGAACCAGCCGCACCATCAGGTACATCACAGCCTGACCCTGCAACTGCTCCAGAAGGTAGTGTTGATGGAGATGGCGCCAAGTCAAAAGCATCAGCATCAATTGCAGGATCGAGAATTGGTACGAAACGCCGTCATGAGACACATTCACGTGGCACATTTGAGGAAGATCATGCACTTGGACTTCGGAAAATGCAACATATGCTGGGAACTTTAGAACCTGGTAAGCTGAAGCCGACTCCAATTTTTCCCCAAAGTGTGCTTGGACATTTGTACATGCGCAAATATGGCTTGTCCAGAGAGCAGAGAGCACAGATCATCCGGGCCACCAATGGCTCTTCACGTTTTGTGGACGTTGAGCGCATCATGCGCGCCTCTGATCTGGAAGAAACAAAAGATGATCGCCGTGTTCAAAAGACTGGTAGACGTGATGCCTATGCAGTTTCTGCCAAGCGTCACAAACAACAAGTGTTTCTGGCCGACGATGATGAGTCATCGGAATTGGTAGATTTCGAAAATGAGTCCAGTGAAACAGGTGATGATGAAGTTCTGGCCGCAGCACATGAGGATGAAGATGATTCCGAAAACGATGAAGCTATAGAAATCCTGGAAATGCACAAAAAGACCAAAGACAAGTTCCGAAAAGCATTTCGTTCATACAAGGATTCTAGAAAGA